TCGGTTTTTTTTTGGGGGGGGGGGGGGGGGTTATTTCCCCTTGAACCCTGACTCGGACACAGTGTCTTAGTTTTTAAAAGCAATTTAGGATTCGGCCCCCAGCACGTTTTCCCCTTGTGGAAGGCAAATGTCTCGCCTGAATTCAGCGCCAGTCCGTGGCACGCTGGCAGCGATGCGTCCGCGTTTCCTTGCCCTCAGTTGGAGCCAACGGGCGCTCTCTGGGCAGTGCAGGAGGTTTTAGTTTGTGGGTCTGTTCAGTATCCGCTGCATCCAGCCGGGCTTACTCAGCATTGCCAACGTTGTATTTCAAAGGTAGGGCACTCTCATCTCCGCACCCCTCCTTCTAATAGCAGCATCATTCAATATATTTAAAAAATGTTTCCTGCGGGACGACAGTGATGTCATTGTCATTCTGCGTCCTGCAGCCCCTCCCCCCTCAGCAACCTGGGTTCCTCCCTACCCCGTTACCTCAGAATGCAGCCTGCGCTGCCCCGGCCCTTCTCTGCCGGCTGGGGGGGGCCAAGAGGTCCCGGCTGGCTCTGAGGGCAGGAGCAGGGGAGCCCTAGAGGCCCAGGCTGGCTGAGGGGGGAAGGGTGTGTGGGGAGGTCCCCAGGGGTCCCACCTGGGCTGGCTGCATGGGGGGAGGCCCTGGCCCTCCCCTCCCTGGTGGTTGCAGGGAGAGTTGGGCCTGCCCGCCCCCAGAGATGGGCCCGGGGGAGAGGAGGGGGGTTGGTGAGCTCAGCGAGCAGGGGGAACAGCCCCCTAGTCCTTAATAACAAATCTAAGCCAGATTCACCTGCCTTTGCCAGGGTGTTTCTTGCTGCTTTTGGCAGACCTCAGCACCGTCCGTCCTGATAGGGGGCTGTCAGCATCCCTAGAGAGACCCGCAGGGGCTGGGCTAGTAAATGTATTGGCAGCTGGGAGATCCAGCCAGGGGTGTTTTCTGTTCTCGGCCCCAAGAGCAGCACGGGACAGAACGGTCGTGTGGCGGGGAGGCCGGACTGAGGCCCACCGGCAGGTTCGGGCTGGGGCCAAGCTGTCCGGTGGCACGTCTGGCAGACTCTGTCTCTCTCCTCGTCCGCAGATGGTTTCAAACCTTGATCCACCTGGTGAAGGGGAATATCGGCACAGGCCTGCTGGGCCTGCCCCTGGCTGTGAAAAACGCTGGCATCGTGGTAAGATGGCATCTCCCCCTCTCCAAAGGTCGGGAGCGGGCAGGGCTCGGTTCCTAGACAGTGGCGTATTGCTAACTTGGACTCAGGCCTTCTGTCCGGTCCCACCTGCTTAGCTGGCTCCTGGGGTTGGCCACAGCTGAGGTCCCAGGTCCATGCCCAGCTAGTGACCGCACGTCGGCTGGTTGGCTGTCCGGAAGCCTGAGTGAAGAGCTGCCGGTTCAGGCTGGCTCCTGGGTGAGGGGATGGCCTCACAGGGCTTCGCTACTGGCTCCCTCTTGCTGCCACTTCCTCAGCCCTGGCTTGAGCAGCGCGTTGGGGCAGGCTGCCCATGTGCTGAGGTCACCGTGCTGTGGACAAGGGGAGGGCACCAGAGCCCAGAGATGTCGGGTGGGCCCTTCCTGGTGATCGTGCAGTGACCCTTAGGCTCGTGCGGCTCTCTT